AAAAAAAAATTAAAATTTTACCATTTTATTTAAAAGATAACAATGTTCACATCTTTTAAATAAGAAGAAGACAAACTTTATACCTTTATCTGCACATTTTCTTGCATGACAGCAAATTGCAGGAATGAGATGATAATAAGACAACATCAAACCCTATAGTCTCTATTGCCCGACATGACAATATTGCTGATCTTGAAACATTCCACCAAGTAAACAAATAATGATCCAGCATATCCCACGATGGGAATTGGGAAGAACTGAGAAAGATTTGTTCAGCGATAAATAACAGTCCATTTCCAATAAAGCTTGGTAATTTATTCCACTGAAATATTACCAAAGACTTTAAACTCCTTTCAGAGGGGAAGATTGAAAAAGAAAATGGCAAGACAGAGCGCCTACATAAAATTTCCCCCACAACCTGAGTTGAAAAGACTATGCCTATGTGAGATAAAAAAAAGATGTGCCTAATATGAAACGCTTTCTCTTTCTCTCCCAATACATATTCTACAACCCATCCCCCAACAAAATCACCAGTAAAGAGTAAAGATCACAAAATGAGAGTAAGAAGTAATACCTAATTGGTTAGAGTTTATCCCACAACATCTACTAACACATTACACACTCCTATTCCCTGCGACACAGACACCAAACTGAGCTTTCCGGCTTTCCCCTCACTTGTAACAATGATAACTCTTCTACTAAAGTATAAATTACTAGCAAAACGACAACATATTAAATTTAAAAAGAAAAGGTACCTATAAAAGAGGGGGAAGATCCAATATATTAGACACTCAAAGTACTATAAATTATGGATTTTTAATCCCATGCACTGGTGACTCCTGGACCATATCCTCCACCTCCACCATATCCACCAGAAGCACCATATCCACCACTGCTGTTGCCATAGTAATTATCTGAACCACCTCTATTGAAAGATGAATCCCTACGGAAATCACGGCCACCAAAACGGCCACCCCCTGAACGGCGATTCCTGCCTCCAAAAGAAGAACGGGCTGCAAAGCGAGCAAGCCAAGCAGGTACTTCTTGATTTGCTTCTTGCATTAGATCTGATAATGGCCTTGCCAATGATGAATTATTGTCATTGAAGAAGGCAGTAGCTAAACCAGTTTTCCCAGCACGCCCTGTTCGTCCAATTCGATGAACATAGTCATCTATGTCATTTGGAAGGTCAAAGTTCACTACATGTGCCACATGGGGGATATCAAGACCACGAGCTGCCACATCAGTTGCAACCAAGATTGGGGTAGCACCACTTTTAAATGACCTTAGTGCTTGCTCTCTTTCCTGCAAAATGTAAACAAATGCATATATAAATGACACATGAAGAACTGTAATGGGGAATAGCTGGCACCTGGCACCATTTTTATCTAAAACTTGCTGTTAAAAATTTTGGAGCATCCACCCATAGATAAAGATTACAGTATATTGCTTAACAGACCTAGCCAAAAACAAAAAAAAATTTCTTAACAAACATAACATAGAGATCCTAGCAATTTAAGCAAAGAACGACAAAAGCCAAAAGCACGCAAAAAAAAGAATTGTGTATGTATACCTGCTGGCTTCTATCTCCATGAATGGTAGTTGCAGGGAAGCCATTCATGCACAACCAATGCTCCAGTGAATCTGCTCCTTTTTTGGTCTCAACAAAAACCAACGTGAGAGCTTGCTGAAATGTTAAAGGGAGGAAAAAAGAGAAACAGTCATTATTGATAAATACTCTTAGACTAACTGTTGAATCAAAAGAATTTCCACATCAATCTCATAAAATAGAGTGCTAGCAGAGCAAACTAAATACTACCTTCCCCTGAACACCATTTGCCCTCTGTGCATGAAGAAGGTCCATAAGGTGACTTCTTTTGTCTGATTCATGAACTAATTCTACTCTTTGGACAATCAAATCAGTACTTGAACCAACCCTCCCAACAGCCAAAAAGACATAATTTGATAGAAAGTCAGAGGCTAGTCTCTGCACGCAATGAAAGTGCAAGGAATCAAATTTGCAGGAAATTTGAATATATGAAGGGAAACATTAGCAGAATGGGCAGATTGTGTGACTTAGATATCTAAACAATCTTCCACAAAGACAAAGAATATTCTTTAATGCCTTGTATGAGTATATCTAACATAAACATCAGAGGTAAAGACCCTAGATCATAAGAGATGAATTTTCTCATTCACAACTGTAAAGAGAAGAATATCAGCTGACAATAGTTCTTGCAGTACCAGGATCTCAGAAAATACCTGTATCTCCTTAGGAAAGGTAGCACTAAATAGCATCGTCTGCCGTGCACCTGGAGGTGGCATGTCCATTTGTTCCACAATTTTTCTTATTTGAGGCTCAAAACCCATATCTAGCATTCGATCTGCCTCATCAAGGGCCAAGTACCTGATCATCTGTAGTGAAACTCTAGCCCGCTCCAGCAAGTCCACCAATCTTCCAGGAGTTGCAACAAGAATATCAACACCCCTCTCCAACTCCCTCAACTGATCAAACACAACATTATCAGTCAATGACCATAGAAACTGAAGCACAGTAGTACAGCTAAAATAAAAACCACAACAAAGGATCACTAAAACACAACTGGAAAAAAAAAAAAAAAAATTCCATATTTTGTATAAGTAAAAGAAAGAGAAGAAACTAAAATTGAAGGACCAAATGCAATGATAAAAATTGAAAAATAAAGCAAACCCAGATTGATAAATAAAGCATTAAACAATCAAAATATTTTCAAAACTATAATTAATGGCAAAACCTAGAATGAGAACAGAAACATGGAAATTTAACGACATAAGAGAAATAAAACCTGTTGGTTAATAGGAGCTCCTCCATAAGCAACAACCACCTTGACACCAGTTTGATAAGAGAACTTCCTGGCTTCCTCATGTATCTGCAGTAATAATTACAAAATATCAACTGGTGTAACTATGTCACTTATGTACACAGTCAAAAAGATGCAACCTACTTGCATTGAGAGCTCTCTGGTTGGAGAAAGAATGAGGGCCAGCGGGCACACAGCACGAGCACCACGAGATGGCCTTTGTGGAGCCTCACCCGTCATAATACCACTGATAATAGGGAAACAGAAAGCAGCTGTTTTCCCAGAACCAGTCTGTGCACATGCCATCAAATCCCTCCCTGCAAGGGAGATGGGGATGGCATGACGTTGCACAGGTGTAGGTCTCACATACTTGCACCTCTGGATGTTTAGATTAAGTCCTTCAGCCAAGTCAATCTCTGCAAAATTACTAACTGGTGGTGGGACATTATCCCCGCTTGTCTCCACTGGAATATCTTCATAAGCATCGAAGTTTATCCCAGTAGTCTCCTGCTCGCTAAATGCCTGTTCTGTACCATCATCTTCTCCAAATGGGTTAACTTCCCCTCTGCCACGAGCCCTGCCACCCCATCCACCAACACCACGGCCACCACCAGCATACCCTGACCGATTATAGTCATTCCTAGGACCAGCCCATCGCGATCCACCAGACCCAGATCTGTCATAACTTGTTGCAGGTCCACTCTGAGCTGGAGCAGGGGGGTCAGAAGATTGACGATTACGAAGATGTGGAGGAACATAAGCAGCTCGGGTAGGAGCTGAGGTGGCACCAACCGCTCCATTGCTAGCAGAAGAACCATCCACATTCTCAGCTGCAGAATTTGCAGCCAAATCTGCCCATGATGTCCTTGTACTCATCAGAATACACCCTTGTTTCCCTTTCCACAACCACCAAACCTCACACAAACCCCAGATTAAAACAAAGAAATCCCAGAATTCCCTTCCAAACCTCCAACTCCCACAAAAAAAATTTCCTCAAAATTAACCAAAAATTCAAATGTCAAAACCTTCTTGTACGATCAGACCTTCACACATTGAAATTAACAACAAATGAAAAACCTGATTAGATAATAAGCCTTGACAAAAAAAAAAGCTCTTATATACTGTATAAACCGTAATCAGAAAAAATAAAAAATCAGCAGTAACTGCAACAACACAATGTAAACAAACGCGTGTCTCTGTTTCAAAAGAAGCTTTCCGCAATAATTAATCAAAAAATAATAAAAAAAAAAAAACGGCAATCCAATCTTCCGTCAATAAAAAAATCCCCGAATGCGAAATTATCAAATCAATGCAAAACGAATGAAAACGGAAACAGAAACCCAAAAATTGATCTGCTCGGGAGAGATTGAAAAGCAACCCTCCGAAACAGTAAGAAAAACTTCAATAACATAAAAACGAAACAGATTGATTCACATTAAAGAGTTTTGGGAGATTGAAAAGCATAAACATGGATGGAAACATAGAGAGAGAGGAGATGATGAACCTGCTATGGAGAAAACCCTAAATTTGGGCGATGAAAGAATGAAGATCTAAAGACAAAGAAACCCTAAGAATAAGCAGACACGAAGAAATAGAGAAGAAAAAGAAAATATCTTATGTTTTCTCTCTCTAGTTTAAATGTATATATATAGATAGATTTTATTTAAATTAAACTTTTCTTTTTATTTTTTTCTTAACCTATATTTGAATAAAAATTAATAAAAAAAAAAAAGGAAAAAAAGAGAGAGAGAGTTTAAAGGAGTGAGTGAGAGCAATCGAAACCGAAAGTGTCTCTCTCTCTCACTGAGAAAGGCATTGGCCTCTTCACCACCGCAAGACTTTTCTCTCTCTATAAACAGCCCTGAAAATTTAGGGTTTCATTTCTCTGGTTATACACGTTTTGTTCGAAATCTAGGGTTTGATCTGTAATTAACGCGGAAGGAGGGTGGGGAAAGAGAAGATGAGCTTGGATTCGGTGCCGTCGAACTCTCATGGGAACCTGGACGAGCAGATTAATCAGCTCATGCAGTGCAAGCCTTTGTCCGAGCAAGAGGTACTATTCTTTTGTCTGTCTTGGATGGTTAATTGTTCATGGTTTTGTTGATTCCAGTGGTTTTGCTGGTGAGTTTGTGGGAAATGGTATGGATCTGCTAGGGATTGTTGGTTCTGTTGCTGGTTTTGGTTGATCTGTGTGTTGATTAGAGTTTGGATGTTTTGTGGACCGATCTTGATGTGGATTTCTCTGTTCTGTTGAATATAATGGTCGTTATATTGGATTTTTCTGCATGTTTGATCAGATCTTATTATTATTATTATTATTATTTTATGTTGAATATAATGGTCGTTATACTTTCCTGCCTGTGGATGTGCATGTATTCTGATCATTAAATTCAATTTTTCTGCATGTTCTGTATATCGTCCCTTTTTGTAATTATCATTGTCATGGCTAATTGTGCTTTTCGAAACCCCATTTGAAACGTTGGTGCCTTTCTGACTATCATATACTTTGAATAATAACAACATTAATATATAAAAACTATCATGTTAATGTAATGTTGTTGATTGCAGTGATATTGTTGCTTCTGGCATTTTTGCTGGTTCCTAATGATAGAGACTGAGAGTTATTTGTTAGATTTAATAAACAGGATATCGGACCAAAAAGGAAATCTTTAGTCTTAGTATTCTGTTAGTTTTGATTTGACAGTTGTATTTGATGCTCTGATTCTTGGTGGATGCTACTGAGTGTGGTCATGTATATGAGAAAACCTCATTTTCTATTGATATTTCGTAAAATCATCCTTAGCTCAGTTTTATCTATGGTTTTTGTTATTGTTGAATCAGGTAAGGGTGCTGTGTGAGAAGGCTAAAGAGATATTCATGGAAGAAAGCAATGTTCAGGTTTGCTCCCATGCTGTTGTGAATTTGTTATTGGTAGACTTACATTAAAGCTGTCCACTGGGTTGTACGTGTTATTATGTTAATGATATTGTCAAACTGAAAAAAACAGAGACTATCCATATTTTTATTACTGTTTTTAAATTTTGGGTTGAAACGTGGAGTTAATATGATATTAAATAGGATATGATTACATTTTTATTTTATTCACTGCAGCCTGTGAAAAGTCCTGTTACAATCTGTGGTGATATTCATGGGCAGTTTCATGATCTTGCAGAACTTTTTCGTATTGGAGGAAAGGTAATTGTTTTGAGGCAGTTGCTGGTAGTCTTGTTTCGGAATCATTGTTGGTTAGTTGTCTTATATTTATAGAAGGACACATAACTGGACTTATACATGCAATTATAACTGAAATAATACATGGTATTTGTTAGAAGTCAGAACTACATGTTTCTTTGAAATTTTCTTTTGCCTTGCAAAGATAAAGGATTATGTGTTGGATTTTCTAAAAACTTAGTGATTTTAACATTGTATTATACTATTAGATTTTTGAAATTTGAATTCTAAACAGAAAAAAAGAAAAAAAAAAGGGAACTTCTAAATACAAAAGCAGTGAAAGCAGATTCACTGCTTTATATTCCATCTCTCACATTGTATTGATATTAATGTATTTTCTCAACTGTTGCATATATCTTCTTCAGTGTCCAGATACAAATTACTTGTTCATGGGAGATTATGTTGATCGTGGTTACTATTCAGTTGAAACTGTAACAGTGAGTATGAGTGGTTATCTTTTGTTTTCCCAAACAGATATCTGTTTGAATTTAATTTGGATTTTAACTGGTATAGATTAGTATTTGGGATTCGATTAAGGCTTTAACTTATGGCTGGTCTTTGACTTTATCTCAGCTCTTGGTAGCCCTTAAAGTGCGTTACCCCCAACGGATAACCATTCTAAGAGGAAACCATGAAAGCCGACAGGTATGCTGTGTTCTAAATGGTTCTTGGTGGTTTGGTTTCTAATCTTGATTCCATTACCCAATAAGATGTTGTTATGGAGGTTTTGTTTGTCATGATTTTCTATTTTCACTAAATTGTATCACATATTTTGTCCAACCTAAGTATCATTTTCATTTTTCTGATTTTTGATTTTTATATTTTAGGGTTACACTTTTATTTCCTGATAATCAGTTTTATCTTTTATCATGCAGATTACTCAAGTTTATGGGTTTTATGATGAATGCCTAAGGAAGTGAGTATCTTAGAGTCCTTAGTTGTTGGTTCTTTTTCCATTTCAGCTATACTACATTTGACAAAATTTATGATTGTAAATAGACCTTTTTTCCTTTTGGCTAGGAAATAACAATAAATGAGTTACAACTAAAAAAATCCTGAATACTATTCTAATCAATTCTGAGTTTCGCTATGAAGTTATTATTATTGCTCCCTTGACAAATCTTTTTATTTGTTTGTCATTTTTCTGCGTGGATGGATCCTCTTCTTCAGTGTTTTATGTATCTTGTTGCTATTCTTAAAATCTTAAGTTCTCTCTATTTTGTTCTGCAGGTATGGCAATGCAAATGTTTGGAAGATCTTTACTGATCTTTTTGACTATTTTCCACTAACTGCATTGGTTAGTAGTTTTTAATATTGGTGGTTTCTGATGTGATTATAATCGAACAAGTGAAATGAAAGGTTGTGTGTGTGTGTGTGTTTTCCAGTTCTACTTACTTTTGGACTTTCTACCGTTTTGAAGGTTGAATCAGAAATTTTCTGCCTCCATGGTGGATTGTCTCCTTCCATTGAAACTCTGGATAACATCCGTAATTTTGATCGAGTTCAAGAAGTTCCCCATGAGGGCCCCATGTGTGATCTTTTGTGGTCTGATCCAGATGATCGTTGTGGGTGGGGTATTTCTCCAAGGGGTGCTGGATATACCTTTGGCCAAGTAATATATCTGTTGCTTTATTCTTTTATTCTTCCTCTTAAAATTGGTCAAAGGATATATATTTATCCTCTTTTTTTTTTCTTTTTTTTTTTATAATTTCTCCAGGACATATCTGAGCAATTTAACCATACAAACAACCTGAAGTTGATTGCTAGGGCTCACCAGCTGGTTATGGAAGGATACAATTGGGGTCATGTAATTACTCTTCATTATAGTAGACTCTATTTGGCATTGTTTTGATCTTGGTTGTGAGATATGTCCATCCTTATTACAGGAACAAAAGGTGGTTACCATATTTAGTGCTCCTAATTATTGTTATCGCTGTGGAAACATGGCTTCTATTCTTGAAGTTGATGACTGCAAGGGCCACACGTTCATTCAGGTCTCTGTTACAGCTCATGTTATGGGAGGCATTTTTTTTTTTTTTAAACAGCTTAATTCCACTGAGGAGGTCTTCAACTTTCTTTGCAGTTTGAGCCTGCCCCAAGGAGAGGAGAGCCTGATGTGACCCGAAGGACACCTGATTACTTCTTGTAAAGCAGCACTCTGGCTGAGAGTTGAGTAGTCTCTTAGCAGCCAGTGCATGTCAACCAGTTAGCACCGAGGGATTTTTCCAATTTAAGATTTTACAATTCACAATGGTGGTGGCAGGGTAACATCAAGCATGTAAAAATGGTTAACTGAGGCTTCTTCTCCCTTGGTGAGGTATAGTTGAATTGTGGTTAAGTATCCAGGAGAGGAAGTGGTGGAGCTGGCAACAAAGTAGGGTGCATTTGTACCATTTCCAGCAAACAATATGGCATTTCTGAATCTTTTCCTTGATTTTCATTTTTGTTTGTATTTTTTGTCTTTTCATCTGTAGAAGGATCGCTGTCGACGCCTTGGAGGGATGGAGATCTGTAGAGGGATGTTGAGCTTACAATTTCTTATAATGGGTGCTATTATTATTATTTTTTTTTATTTTTTGGCTAAATCTGTTCCAATCAAAATTTTCTTTGCAGATGCACTGTCTTCTTTCCCTCTAAGAGTACTCACTTCCTCCTGTCTAATTGAACCATTACGGGCAATCCTATAGTTATAAAGTTAAGTAAAATTATAAATTTGTAATTAAAACATATCATTAAGAGTGATATTTTATTAAATAAGTAGATATATATATATGATATTATAAATTTTTAAGTAAAATGAGTTCATTATGGAATGATATTTTATGTTATAAGTTTATAATGTCTTTCTGGCGTTGTAATTGTATCATTTCTGAACTTTTTTGCCTCAAGCTAACCGATCCACTCCTTGTTAATAAGGAAGTCTTCGCAGAACAAGTCAGTTGCGCGCAGATTACTCAACTCATATTAATATCTTGGTTCCAGCCTTTCGGGGGAGAATTTTTTGGTTAACTTCAATATTTTACTGTGAGAATTGAAGTTTTTCTCCATACAAACGATGTGCATCGCAGGTGATGTCTATTGGTGTTTATCTTTTGCGTACAGGCGACATCAAATGAATGTTTTATTCTTTATGCGGACGGCAAATGTTTTTGTGAGTAGCGGTTTGCTTGATGTTTCTAACTCTATTTTCCTCAATTTGAAAGGGCTGCAAGGGGAACCTGTGTACAGAACAAAGGGTAAGGATCTAGATATCAATAACACTGCTCTACAGAAAATCAAGTTTAAACTAAAATTCTGGTGTTTTCTCCTCTATGCTGAGATAGTCCTCAGTGAAAGATTAAACGTGGTGACAATGCAGCTCTCCTATATGCCGAAGGCAGCGTTACAGGTTTCTCAATCCTTCCCACAAAAGCTCTCTTTGTGAGGTTGTCATAGTCATTATCCTCAATTGCATCCAGTATCTTTCTATACAGCAGCAGAGATGACCAAACCTGAAAATCCTCAGACATATTAGATTTATGATTTAGCTGTTGTGCACAACATCTTTTGATTATGACACAAATAAAACGTTACCGGCCAGCGGCTTGCCTTGTGAATCTGGGAAGCTCCATCCTCAGCCAGGTTGAAGTAGAACCTTGCCCTTGTGATCTGCTCTTTCATTAACTTCATGCATCCGTGATCTTCCCTAGAGAACACATCTTTGTCGCATAAACCAAACAGTGCAAGCTCGTCTTGTGAAAGGTAGACTCTCCCTCTCAAAGCACTGAAAAACAGGCTGCTGAAATGACTCAGAAAGGATCCCATGAGGGAATTGTTAAGCTTTATATATATTAAAGTTGGAAAACATATTCTTCTCCTACATCTCTGAGTATGTTTGTCAACCGATTTCCAATGCCCAAATAGAGGGCTGCGTTATATATACTCTGAGCTGGAACATGGGACTCCGGTACAATTCCCATTACTGGAACACTCATAAGGCCAGTGTTACTGGTAACACAGTAGCAGTAAAGATACAGCTCTTGAAAGTTCTGATACCTGCGTTTGTGTATGTCCATTCTCATCCACTCAATCATGTCCCTGAAAGGCTGTATAGGGGGAGAAACACCAATCAATCAGATCAATGCTTCAAATACTACAGGCCAAAGTATCAATTAGGAAAATGGAATTTTGAAGCGAACCTTGATATCCAAGGGGAACTTGAAGACTGCATCAGTGAGTGCAGCATCTAGCATGTCATAGGGGCGACCATTAAAGATGTCATGAAGTCTCTCTTCCCATCTATCTAGAACAGAGGTGCTTATGTACGTTGCATTTGGACCATCCACCAGTTCATCTGTCCTCCCGCACCAGACTTCATATACAGCCTATGAGTTGTGACTACTTCAATGGATACTTTGATCATATAATCATCTGTCAGAATTTGTTTCTGAACCAATAATTTTAATTTCTTACCATAAATTGCCCATATGGCTTTCTGCCTCTCCTCTGTCATCAACCTAGTACCTGTATCAAACATTAGAATCATCATAAAAGAATTCAAGGAACATTTTTGATTTGATGGACAGAAAGTGAAAATGTTGGACCTAGATAGAAAGTCTTGGCATATTCTGCACAGATTTTCTTGTACCCATCATAACCCTCTTCTAAAAAACCAGGATGGAACTGTGGTTTTGATCTGCAGGTACCTTCCATTCCCAAGCTGTTCATCCCGGATTTCCTTTCAAGCACTTCCCCAACATGTAGATCAGTATGAGGAATTCCCTCTCTTGTCAATCCAGGAAACCTGTTTGATCTTCTTCTTGGAGCTGTAATTGCATCTTCTCTCCTTGTTATAACCGCAGATGTTCTAGTCTGAAAGCTCCCATTGCCAGCTCCAATAGAAAGCTTAGCTGAAATTGAAAATGTAGAATTCATTTTGGTAAAATCCTAATGTTCTTCTCTCATGTACAGCCACGAATCCTCCTTTAATATCACTCTGATTGGCTTAACGTTTCTTTTTGTGTGTCTCGACTCATTTGCCTGTTTTTTCATACTTGTAGTCATGTGAATGTAAACATAACATATTATGCAAAAAGGGAAAGTGCATACGACTCATGATTTATATATATATATATATATATATAAAAGCAGCAGGTTGTGACTTATGATTGATTAAGACACTCAGAAAAAGGTTTTATTATGTTAACTTGTAGTGTGGTTCCTGCATTGGATCCACCAATGATCTATGAAGAAATGGCATATCATAATGATGGTAAGGGAATATCGAGGATTAACAGGAAGTTGAATTTGTCTTGGACCAAACCAAGCACTGCAGCCAAACTGTGTCCTTTTTGATAATTGCTTGTATGAGAATCTTGGACAAGTTCAATACCCCTTGTTAGACATTAAGTGCGATTACAATGTTTTTGTCCTCAAGTAATCTTTTGGGTCCAAGATCAAGATGATCTTTTTGAATTGCCAAAGTGGAATAATTAGGTTGGGAAATGAAGATAGATAAACCTCCCTAATGTCCTACAGAAAAAGGGTGCCGTGGATGGATTCTCTAGTCATCATTTTTCCACTAGGGCTTGATTCATGATGTAGTTTCCTGTAGTTGCATCACTTTTTTTGGTCAACCAAGTAATTGGATTGATGAAACTTAGAAAATTTGGGGAGCATCTCAGAAGCATGAAGTTTGGAATTGCAAGAAGGGATGAGCCATTTGGCCTGTTCCGAAACTTGCGTTGTCGAATCATGTGAAGTTCAACCATTTCTGAGAGCTGAAAGTGAAGGGAGAAGTTGCAGCCAAAGGCATGGATTCCATTCTTAGTGTTTAGATTGCTTCACGAGCCCTAACTTTCTAGTGAATGTCTGAATTGTTTCGGTACTTGAAAACTCTAAAGAAGTGTCTCAAAAAACACTCTAATAATCAATTTAGCAATAATTACTTGTTCTCTAATTAACAATAATCACTTGTTATAAAGAGAGAAGTTATTGTGAAACTAAATATTACATAAAGAAATATAGTAGAGTTTTACCTTTAATGAAGCTACAAGAGGTATTTATAACTTTATTTATGATATTAATACCATGGTTACTGCTCCATTGGCCCACGTGCCACCCATCACGTAACTAAGTTTTTTACTGTTTATATATGTCATTTGAGTTTTTATTGGGTTTTAGGGCCAATAGTTGACCTTAAGTCAATGTTGGAAGCCACCTTAATTTAATGTTGCGCTACCTCCCAACACTTAGCAAAATAAAGAGAGTATGTCAAGGCAAAGAAACAAAAATGGGATGAGAACTTAGTCGAAAATAGAATTGGTTGATAAATGTACTTATGCTTGTTCAAATTTCTGATTTTGTTTGTCCCACAATTCTAGTTATAGATTGAACATAAACCCATACCCCCACCTCTTGAAACAACTCAAGGGTGTGATTGTTGGTGGCATTCCCCTTTTGGAGTTTGTCAGTCTTCTCTCTTACGTTTAAGGGAAGACAACTTAGTTTTTAACAGTCTCGACAAATGTCTTTCTCACTGTTTTCGGCTAAAATCAATTTTGAGCTCCTCACTTTACAAAATTGGTAGATTTTAACTTCTAATCTTATAATATAATACTTTTAGTCTTTTACCTTATAAAGTTGGTAGGTTTTAACCCCTTATCTTACAAAATTAGTAGGTTTTAGCCTCTCACCTTATATTATGACACTTTTAGCCCCTTATCTATACAAATAGAAGAAAATAACTCTCACTTAACATTAGGTTATAATGTTCTGTTAGTTTTGTTGGTTAACTGTCAGTTCTGTTAGTTGACTGTCAGTTCTGTTAGCTGACTGTCAGTTCTGTTAGCTGACTGTTAGTTCTGTTAGCTAACTGTTAGTATCCGTTAGCATTCCTTTAATAGAACTAACAAATAAAATTGAATTTAAATTTTATATTTTCTATAATGAAATGCTAATGGATGTTAACAGTCAGTTAACAGAATCAACAGAATGTTATAACATAATATTATGTTGGAGTTAATTTCTTCAATTTGTATAGGTGAGGAGTTAAAAATGTTATAATATAAGGTGAGGGATTAAAACCTACCAATTTTGTAAGGTAAAAGGTTAAAAGTATCATATTATAAGGTGAATGGTTAAAATCTACTAATTTTTTTAAGCTAAGGGGTTAAATGTTGGTTTTTACGCATTGTTTAATTGAGATGTTAATCAAGAATAGTCTGAATACTTTTAAAAAATAGATTGTAACTGTGCACTTAAGCATTAAACGCGTTTGTAGTCCAACGGTTAGGATAATTGCCTTCCAAGCAATAGACCCGGGTTCGACTCCCGGCAAACGCAGGATTAGT